CAGCGCCGGGTAAGCTTGACCAACACATTACAATATCTTGGCTGATTGTGCTTTGTGGGATGATAGTTGATAGAATTTGCGCTGAGCAGGAAAATAAAGCCGTATCTCAAGGCGGGGATTTTTGCGTTTTTATTTCGAGCTCACATGCGACGGGAGGGGCAGCTTGTCATCATCAGCAGCAGAGACATGGACTCCGTCCCGCGAATTACTCCGTCATGCCTGTCTACGTCAAGCTCACCGATCATGTGCAGGCCGCGGTGCCCGACGGCGACATCATGCCGGTGTTCATCCACCGTGACATCCTCGCCTCCGCAACCGCGTCCGCGTTGGATCGGCAAGACCACCGGAGGGCGCCCGCTTGGAGCACCATCCTCCTCGAGGTGCCAGAGGGCGAGGACGGCGCCGAAGAGGACGCCCTGCTACGGGAGGGGCTGCGCGCGGCGGGCTGCCCTCGTCCGCAGCCGTTCACGCTCAAGCAGATGACGCATCTGCAGCTGACGTCCGCAACGTTCGTGCACGGCGGCGTGGCCGCCATCTCGCGCGCCCTCGCGCGGATGGGCGTGCCGCTCCCGCCGCCGGACGACTACCCGCACTGCCTGCGCTGCCAGCTGCACCGCCGCATCTGGACGTCGTCGGTCGGCGAGCTGCTGCGCCACTTTGATGGGAGCGGCGGGACGAGCAGCGGCGGCGGGCTCGGGGCTGTCTTCGTAAAGCCTCTCGACCGCAGGAAACGCTTCACAGGGTTCGTGGTGGCGCAGCCGGACGACCTGGCCTCGCACGGCCTCACGCGACGCGCGGAGCGGCTGCTGTGCGCCTCCGCCGTCCGCTGGCTCACGGAGTGGCGCGTGTACGTCGCCGAGGGCGAGGTCCTCGCGTGCTGCAACTACGCCGGCGACCCGGCTCTCCAGGTGGAAGCGACCGTAGTGCAGGAAGGCGTCGCTGCAAGGAGTGCTGCGCCTGGATGCCCCGCGGGCTACGCGCTCGATTACGGCGTGCTCGACCCGGGGGATGCCCCGCGCGCCTGACCCAGACGCGAAAACGAATCTGCGAGGCGTGGCCCCTCATGCGGCCCGATGGGGAGGGGCGGGGCGGACTGCGGGGATCGGCTTCTTACACGGCCCTTCCTTGCAGCGAGCCCCCTCCAACCCACCCGCGCTAGGTCTCGGGTTTGACGCATGGGGTCACTCCCGCGAAACTCGAGTGCTAGCCGGGGCAGTCGAAGAAGGGGCATCTCCGTGCACTGACGGTCGGCCGTCAGAGAGCACGCCTGCGTGGCTCGGGTTACACCAATCCTCGCTACCCAACGCGGCCAAAGGATATCCACCTTGAGAACAACAACATACCTAAACCTTGAGAACCTCGAGAAGGCGCTTAAATCAAAAAAAGAAATAAATTATCGCCGCGGGTTTGGGTCTCAGGCCGTGCTGGAACATATGGTGCACAATGACTGCACTCGTAACCGTGGAGCGCCGTGGAGCGCCGTGCCTCAGCAAGGAGGGTTTCTGCACTAAAGGCTTCCCGAAGCCGTTTCATGCGACGCACGAAAAGTCTGGGAGAGATGGGCGACGCACGAACACAAAGGTCAAAGCGCTCCTTTCCAGCGCGGATTACGATTTCTTTTGCAGATGCCCGTGATCTCCTATTCTCCGTGATCTGTTGCACGCCGTCATGCTCGTCCTCGCTCTTCTCGCGACGCCCTCCAACACCGCCTCTCGCCCCCGTCCGCGGCGCGGGGGGGCACTCATCGACACGCGCAACCGCACCGACTTCAGCAT